GTTGATGAGAAGTAGGTAACACTTGTATTGGGCCACTTCATAGTACCATCTTAATACACAGCCTCCTGTTACCACTTGCACAAGAGTTCAGGAAACAAAGCTAACATATTTACTGCTTCTACTCACAGCTCTCTGGATATGTCAGGCCATAATTCAAATCTATGGTTTATAAGGAAACAGACTATGAATCAGAATACATGCAACAAAAGAAAGAGAAGAGAAAGACAAAAGCTTTCTGCCAGGTTGGAGTAAACATTTTATTTATAATGATGGCTGCATGTTTGGGCACTATGTTTCGATTCCAGGTTTGTTTCTGAGCCTCACATTTAGCTTTTCCTTGCATTCTGTCCTTACTAGGTGGCTTTGCAAATGAAATACTGGACCAACAAAATGCCGCAGATCTCAGTTCTTTTACTTACTAAGACCAAGGAAGCCTGTCTCAGTTGCCTCAGAGTTCAATTTATTGTTGTATCTTTAGTATGAGTGTGTACTGGGAGTTAAATCTTTTAGAAATATTTATTAACATTTAAGTATGTTACTCTTATTGAAATCAAGTTTTCCAGTCAAACAGCCTACTAAAACAGCATTCTGATGAACGTGGGTTCGTTATTTTCATTGTTTGTTTTGTTGGAATACTAATGTATTATTATTTCAGTGTAGAATAACAGTTAAGTAATGCAAGAACAGGATACTAGATGATTAGTAATATAGTATAATTTGGTGGATAGTTTTTTTCTCACTCGAAGATTCAACAAATGTTTACTTAGCAGAGTCAAAACAAGAATAAAGTACTCGCCGCAAATCTAAAGGACATATAAGGAGGATATATGCTATCCTGAGCATGTTACACTACAAGGAAAAAACGGCACCTCTCTTCCTAGATAAGCTCATCACCCTAGAGGAGAGGGGTTAGCCCCTACTTTTTCTGTCATTGCTTTCTACATTCAAAAAGTAATAGATCTGGAGGGGAGATGTTCCTGCTTGACTCATAAAAAGTTATAAATTTAAATTGAACCAAATGTTGCAAATGTCATGGCTCCCAACTGCCTGCAAGGACAGACTAAGTCAAAAGCCCACTCTTTGCAAGAGTAGTACAGCTAGTTGTTTGTACAATCAGAGATGATTTAAGATAGAAATGGTTACAAACGTACAAGTTACCAATGCTAGGTGGCTCATATTAATATTCTCATTGCCAAAACAAATGTTAAGCCATTATTAATTTTGTTCTTTGTATTTACATATTTACCATTTTTAAAAACACCTCTAACATTAAAACAAGGGCAATTCCTTCTATATTTTTGTTTCAAGCATCAAATTAAGTAGTTACAGCTCTGTTATTTAGACACTTACTGCAGGTAAATGGATATAGGACAGCAGAGTAAAGAACTCTCCAATTCACATTGACTTAACACCAACCTCTTATGGCCTTTAAGAATCCAGCCTAAGCCAAATTGTTTTAGGTTTTATTTCTAGCAATGCAATTTGAGAAGGTCTTCAAGTTTTAAAGAAATGCATAGAAACAAGGTGGTATTCTGGACAATTTTTTCTGGTTCTTCAGTGTTGGGGGGAAAAAGTAACTTGCAGAATTAAGACTGGTGGGTGCTCTCTCCAGTCTTTACTGGTCCCACCAGCTACATCCTCACTCTAATCAGCATGTGCTGAATCATAAAAGTTTGCTATGTGACTCAGAACACTGACTATGGAAGGCTTTAAATAACGCATACCCTGTTTCCCTGAAAATAAGACCTAACCTGAAAACAAGCCCTGGTATGATTTTTCAGGATGCTCGTAATATAAGCCCTACCCCCAAAATAAGCTCCACTTAAGTGAAAGCCCACCACCACTGTACAGCAACCAGAAGATGATATGATTGTATTTGAATAAATGCAGATTGTTGTACTTGAAAAAAATAAAACATCCCCTGAAAATAAGCCCTACTGCTTTTTGGAGCAAAAATTCATATAAGACCCTGTCTTATTTTCGGGGATACATGGTAGGTATTCCCCACTTCAGAACTTATGCAAAGCACAGTAAGAAGCGGCACAACCAAGGGTAATGGCCCCACCCTGTTCATACATCTGAATGTGGCAAATTTGAAATGATCAAATATATATATTAGTAGTCTTATTTCACATTCAGTCCTCAACATAGCTACTCAGAAATCCCACTGATTTCAATGGGGCTTATATATAACTTTATTATTTACCACTGGCATTATTTTTATATTTGTGTGCACATATACATGCATTAATTTTATGTAATTATATTTCAGGTTACTGTTTGCAAAGAAGTAAATGCTACAAGAGGAAGTATTACATCTGTCATAACCCACATCTGCAGGTGTTAACCATTGAAAGCAATCTAACAATAAAAAATAATAGCCAGTTTCTTCTAAAATTCAGATTTTCCCAAGGCTTTCTACCTCATAGCAAATATAACCTGGACAGGAATAAACTGCATGGAACATAAAGAAAACCATGAAAGCAAAAATGAAAATGTTGCATCTAGAAACAGTTTCTCTCTATTTTGGATAAACGCTTCAGATAAAGTATGGGTATTATTTGCAGAGCAACGAACAGCCTTTAAGCATCTGTAAATGTAAATGTAAATGTAAATGAATATGGTTTCTGGTACTTATGTCAATCTATATGAGCCATATATTCTTCCCAAAATTTTGTAACAGGCACAGATGACAGGTTGTTCAGGAAAAGACTACAGCTGAATAAGATCAGACTGAATTATCCCATTGCTCCCTGTACAACAGAGACACACACATTCTCTCAAGGCCACATTGGATTTTAAGGTCAAAAGGAATCCTTAGGGTTTTTTTCTAGAAGCCTCCAGAGACCATATGACATTTTGTGCTCTGCAAACATTTTTTTACTGTTTTTAGAAATCAGAAAACAGTACATTTCTTTTAATTCTACAGAAAACATCTAATGTTCATTATGTACACATAGGAAAGTCATTAGGAAAGTCATTTCTTGCCTTTTCTTACAGGTGATCTTTATATATTTATAGGTCAAAGAAGCAATTGGCAGCACAATCTTAAGTGGGTATACTTAGAAGTTAGGCCTACTTGTTACGAGGAGCCTTACAATCATGGAAATAGATCAGGACTGCTGACTATGTCAGATATCTTTGCCTGTATAATAGATTTTAACACAAATGATATCTGTTCAGATGTGCTTCTTCATTCAGCCCCTAGAAATAGCAGTGTTTACATGGGCATTCTCTATGCTTTATTACATTTATGAAGTAACATTTTAGTTTTAGCATGATGGCTAATAGTGGGGTGCTGAACCTGTTAAAATTGATGTGCTGTTAAATGTTTAATTCAATTGTGTTTTAACATTATATTTTGTATACATAGGTTTTATAACTTCTTTTGATCTGTTTTTATTTCAGCTTCTGCAGTTAATCTTGTTGTTAGCTACCTGGACTCCCATTACTTGGAGGTATGCTACTAATCAAATAATGAGTAGCTAGACTTTTATAGGAAGTAGAGCAACTGCTCCATGTTACACACAACTGAGTTGTACATCAGAGAAACATAGATGCATATTTGGGTGAATCCATTGTTTTGCCTCCAAAGAAGCAAGCAGGCAACGGGAATAGATGGCTCTTGTCTTTGGTTGGTATTGAAGACATTCATATAAATAGCCATTTATGTCTGGGCTGGAAGGATTGCCTCCTTCCAGCCCAGCTGCAAGTGACTATTTATTTACCTTGTCTTTCTTCAGAGGCAGCTCACAATAAAACTACATTCTCTCACATTTTAAAACAAATTTTAAAATGGAACATCTTCCATCAATAGAACTGAGAGGGGAACAATCCCTCTGCAGCTCCCCCATAAACTTTGCTCCAGGGAAAAACCCTGAAACAGACTGGGAATGGTTCTGGGAGCTAAAAAGAATAGATGTGGTAAAAGTGGACACAGTTCCACTAGTCACCACTTTCAACACCAAGAAGTCACTTTAGAAGATAAAGGTGGCTCATCCACCATGGTGGGGGTGCTGGCAAGCTTTCTGTGGTTTAGCAGGATGCAATTACTCCTGCACACAATTTTTTGGCAAAAAACAAAAACAAACCCCAAACAAAAAGAAAATACCCTCCCTGAATTGGGGCACAAAGACCCTAAATGTCTGTTGATTGCAAATTTGTAAGATATGGTCTGAAATCATGTGCTGATGACAGCAACAGTAAAAAATTACTGTTGATTATAGCCTTCCTTTTGTGATTTCAGGGTACAAGCAACTTCACTGCATTGTGTAAAAATCATGTGCACCCCCAAATCAGCCTTAATCAGCAGAGATTTGATTTTACTCAGCAACAATTTGCCACTGCTAATGATACCACTCTGATGCACATGGAGGCGCACAACAGACTTTCCGCCAGAGTCTGATAGTACATAATGGAGCAAGTCTTCCGTACCTAAGCAGATCTAGATCTTGTAATTTATGGAAGAAAGGCAGGATATAGGCATCATAAAATAAACAGGATAATATGCATGATCCAAAGTAATTACACAAATCTCTCACATATTCAAGGTATTATCTCCCTCACATTTTTCTTTGTTCTCCCATATAAAAAACTGCTTTAAACTAACAAGTGAACTTGTCATACCATGAACCAGTGACAACTTTATCGTATAGAATACTTGTCTGACTATTCTGTATCTGTTGTAGCCCACTGAGAATGAAGCCTCATGACATGAAGCTTGTGAGTTCTTTTTGGAGGCACTGGGATGCATCATTTCATCCTTTCAATAAGTAATTTTCAGTAAAGTTCTGTTAGGAGGTTTGTGCTGTCAAAAGCCTAGGCACAGATTTATCTGCAAGGATGTTTTAAGAAGTAAGATACAGAGTTCATTAGTAGTAAAACCTTGAAAGAACAGAATTTTTTAAAATGCTTGACTGAAGTGCACTGCTGGTTTTCTAAAACATCCAGAAATCTTTCAACAGGATGTGTATCATCACAGAAAGGGAAATAGTTCTTGCCTGTAACATCTGCTGCCATCAAACCTTCTGCTCTGATGACCTTCACCTGGAGAAATCCCACATCTTTCATGTTATGAAACATCCGTAACAGACTCTGAAAAAGTATGAAAAATTATGAAGTTATGCTGATGTGGCAAAGTCTATTCCTTTCTTCTTCAATTTAGATTTAGATTATTAGGATTATTCTTAAAATAGTCATGCTGATTGCCTACAAGCCAGGTATTTTCACTTAGCATAATTTTTTTTACATAATTTCAATTGCTGTACCGTATTTGATTTGAACACGTCTAAAATGCATATGTTAATGTTACTGTTTGTGCGCTTTTTTTCAAATACATGAACATTTAGCTGGAACAAACCAAACTGAAAGATTACGCCCAGATTACAATCCATCAAAATATATTTATGTACACTATAAATGAGCAACATATTCAGTTCTTTACATATAGTTTAGAAATACATAACCAAATGGCAATAAAATGTAAAAGGTATGTTAAAGAAGACTGCAGCTAACTTTATCCATAAAACCTAAGAAAACAGTTCTCTTTCCAATAGCTTTTTGTATTGTCTGTTCATGATATGTTTGCAAAAATATTGGTAATTTATAGCTGCAAATACGAATAGGAAAGTGAAAAGAAAGGGAGGAAAGAAAGGCTTTTTTGTAAGTTTTCATGACTTATATATTATATGCTGTTAAGCTTCTTGTACAGTTTTGGTAAATTATTATGTATGAGTTTCTACCACTACATAGCTCAGCATTCTTCCTTAGTAAAATTAAATGGCCTATTAACAATTTCGTCTTTCCAAGACGACGTATAAGAAATAACAAGAGGAAAAAAGGCAAGATTTCTAAACATTTCAATGGGGTAACAGTCATTTGAAAAGCAATACTAAGTTTTAATAGGAATACAAATTAATTTTCTTTTCTACTTGATTGCTGCATGACATCATTATCATTAGCGCTATTCTGCCTGTGGGGGAAAATGTGTTTTTTTTTCTGCTTGAAACATCAACTATTAAAGTGTTAGACAAAGCTTTTTTTTTTAACCAGTAAGAGTCAGAGATAAAACCCACAATATAAATCCCCTAAGACGCTTATTGTGCAGAGAGAAGATCTGACCTTGGCAGACTGAGTTGAAGCTATGCAGTTATATGGCACACCAATTTCCACATATAAATGCATTTGTATCTTCAGTATACTTCTATAGATTTTTATGTTTAGAAATACAACCCATGCATTACAATGATTCACTTTTTAAAAATATTTGCCAATCAGAAATCTGAAAGGGCTGGTTTTCTTTTTGCCATATTTTGTTTATATGCTTGCCTAACTGCCTAGTTCTGAAAGTTACAATAGACAGGATCAGAAAACAGGTATTTCTTCATAGTGTGCCATAGAGCTACACTTTTCAACAAGGTATGGTAGTTTTTGTCAAATCTTCTTTCTGATATTTTTCAGTTCTCGTACTAAGCAAAATGCAGGCATGGAAAAATTGAGTGTTTGTTTTATTCATTTTGAAACTATTTTTAACTTGCATTGTCTATACAAAAAGAAGCAGCAGCACAGAGTTTTTTCCTGACCTGCATGCACATTCCACAAATGCTTGGGCATTGCAGTATTTTACTATTTGTCAGGGCTCTGTAGGATAATTATAGTTTGAACTTCCAGATTCAGCTAGTCAGCTGATTGAGAGCAATTTACTGCACATTCTGACAATCTGGGCCACTGACATACTGCAGATTATTATTGTAGGATTCTCTGAAAAGCAAATGACTTTAATACATTACTTTAAACATGCAACTTAAGGTAATGATTTATCAGCCGATTGTCAGCCTTCTTATTTATGATTACTGAAGGCCCCCAAACCCGAATGATATTGGAGGCCTGAAATTTCCATAGCAGAGAAATCTATGATTTGCTGTGAATCCTTTCAGCCCTCAATAGATGGGAAAAGATTGAAATGCTCTGGAGATGAGTCCTCTTTATTTTTTTAATGAAAGGCTGTATAATATATTTTCTGTATGGCTGCAGCAGCTGTCAGGGAGAGCATCTCAGTTCAGCTCTATTATGGGAGAACCAATACCCCATCCTATGGCATTGAGATACACTGAGGGGCCAGCACTGATTGACAGCTTGTCACCATGACGTCTTATTCCATCTCTGTTATGGAGAAAATTAATGTCACACCACCAGCCTTATGACTCGCTGTCATCTTAGAACTGCTCACCTTTTATCAATGCTCTAAATAACATTTCAAGCCCATCGTCTCACGGTGGACAATCCGGTCAAGGGACATTAAATCGGATGACTGTGAAATGTCATAATAAAAATGGAATGCTAACAACTTCTTCACTAAACTAGCTTCTCTGGTTTTTAAACTGTGACAAGGGGGAGCAGGGGTTCAGCATCCCCGTTCTGAAAAGGTCATACAATCTTTCTCTTGGTCTGCTATCCATTATGGCCCCTCTCCCTCCCACCTCAAAAGGAATTAATCTTTTCATACAACAGTGATAAAATAATGGTTCAAACAGTAATGCCTGTTTAATTTGTAGGATTCTGATGTTCAGCTACAAATGGTTAAATGACAGTAAGAGTCATTTTCCAAGACTATTTGATCTGATGGCAGGGTCAAGTCATTTACTGTTTTTATCTCAAGACTAGATGGAAAATAATTTTTTATATAAAAAAGGCTCTTTAAGAAAAAAAATTAAAAATTAAGTTCCATAAAATAAAATAATTAAATGGAATTCTGCATCTTGCTGATTGTACAGCAGTTGTTTGTATGTTTCACAAAGGAAAGAAGCACAAACACTGAAGATAAGACAGAGACCAAGATGCAGAAATGTATACAGGCTCCACAAATATGGTATTGATTTTTTAAATCCTGTCTTTCAGTAACTACGAATGAATCAGCAAACAAAGTAACTTAAGTTTGTCGGAAAACCTTCAGACATCTGATAATAACCATTATGATAAAGCTGTAATTCAAGCACGAGATTTCTTTAAAAGAGGATGTTCCTGTTTTATTAGTGTTAATCTTGCTTGTACTGGTTATAAGATTTGGTGGGTGGAGGTGACACAAGTTTCAAAAAAAGTTGCGATTTTCAGGAATTATATTTTTGTAAAGTTATTTTTATAAAGTTATCAGACTAGCCAGTATCACTTGCTTCACATTAACCTAACAAATCCAGGGGGGTGGGGGGATATGAATTCCTACTTGCTATAAAAATGAGTATCACTACAATTAATCCACCAGAAATGCATGGTATCTATTAATATCTGGTCTGATGGAACAAGCTGCCTTGGTTGATATCAAAATCTGAAATAATACGTGCAATTACTAGTTTTCAGACATAGTACACAATATCTTAGCTCTCAGCTAGTTTAGGAAATACAGTACAGTATAATGTTTAGCCTTGCTAAGTCACCTCTATTAAACTGTGTTTATGATAACACTACTGGTGTATGATTTGTACAAGCACCAGCAGACAGCTGATTCAGTGGAGATAGGTAGAATAAATTTGCTGAAGCGCACATCCTACTAATCTGTTTGAAGAATATTGTACAGCATTAGTACCAGCACTTCATGTTATCTGCAGAGCCTGATAAGGTACATCTTTATTAAATTCAGTTATTGAAAGGATGTCAGCCAGGGAATAGGAATATTTTAAAATAAAAAAAAATTAAACAGCCCTTTGTTAGTCAGAGCCTGGCTTAATGGCAAAGTGTCTAGAGAAGCTTCTAAACACCTGGCAGCACCGTACAATAAAAGCTTTGTAATTTTAGGTGGAAATAGCTTTTCTTCTTTATTCTTTGCATGTAGTAAGTCAGTTTTAGTGAGTTCAGTATTACTAAATGCTGGAGTAAGAGCTCCCCTTGCTGTTGCTTTACTAAAACTACACAGTAGCTTATATGATGTGAGGATGCTGGGAAATAAAATAATTTATTTTCAAAATATTCAATACAGAATTTAGAACTATAGTGTCATTATTATAATGAGAACAAATTGTGCCTCTGTTCTTTAGCATCTTATTTGTGTTGTTCTCTTAAACCTTTGAACAACCATAAAGTTGTTCTATATATTGCTGAATTCTCAAGTCACCTGACTTACTGTTGGGAGATACCAACAGAATAAGTTGCTAATTATGGATCTAAGTTAGTGTTTTACTGGTGAATAGCCAGCAAGTAAAATTCCTTAGAGACTAAAGGCAAAATATGTTGTTATTTGTCTGGAGGAACAGTACAAGTTAGCAACAAGTAAATGGAAATTGTTAAGAGGATTAATATTTAGCATAATATACTGAGGCTATTCCAAAAAGAATCTGACCATTAGTTCTGGATATTAATCAAGCTAATGTATGGCTGCAGTCCTAAATCAGTATGCTAAGATCAACAAGCTGAATGGTGTTCAGTACTATTGGGTGAATTTCTCCTTATTTCATTTTTCATTGTTTATGACATTCTAATCCTAGGCAATCAAGAATAAGAAAAGTGTGTTACATACATATCTCTTCAGTATTTCTTCCTGTTCCTTTGGATCGTCCAAGGCACTGATTGGGAGATCAGAGATGCTAACTGCAGCTGAGGCAGTCAGGGTCACGAGTAGTACCACATAGCCCTCTCCCTCCTCCAGAGGTAACTCCAGTTTATGAGTCTGCTCTTTACTCAGAGTTGACAGGTCAACCTGGCACCTAGAAAGAAATGCTTTTCATCAGCATGCAGTTTTCTTCACAGAGTGATGAACGACATGCTCACAACTACACAAAATGTAAATAAATAAACCTATCCTACCCACAGATCTTAAGAAGGCACTTTCTCGAGATTCAGCTCTTTTGACATTCATTTCACTCTGTCACAAGAACATGGCAGTGCTATTGTACAGAATTATATAACTGCTTTCAAAGCTTAGAAGAAAGCACAGTACTAGAATGAAAGGTGTTATCACATTTCATATGTAACTCCTTTCAAATTCCTAAGGAGCTCTATCACCAAAATTCATGAATACTGCCTTCAGAACATAGCTCAATTTACTTACCCATATTTTTCGCTCCATAAGACGCACCAAATTTTTAGGAGAAGAAAACAGGAAAAAAATAATCTGTTTTCTTCGCTCCATAAGACGCACAGACTTTCCACCCCCCTGTTTTGTGGAAAAAAGTGCGTCTTATAGTGCAAAAAATACAGTAGTTTATGAAGATCACATTGCATCATGTTTAAGGAAAATCACAACTCTTGGAGACTCTTCTGAATTTTTTCATCAACTTTCCTTCCCCAACAGGGTGGCTTGCATAATTCCCACTCCTGCTTTAAGAGGTATGCTTTTGGAAATTCTCACCCCTATATTTTAAGAAGTATCATGCCACTGCAATATATCTTCTTTGTACAGTAGTATGTTTGTTAAGCTTTCCCATTTTTCTTCTAATGGTTTAAAATGTCAAATGATATTTTTCTGATAAGATAAATTGATATAGATTTCATTACAAACCAACCAACAAATTGAAAGTGAGAGAACTTATTTTTTAAAAAATGAGTCCTATTTTCACAGTATTTTGATTTGCTGTCCCTTTGCATATAGAAATGAGCAGCAGCTGACACATACACACAGATAGCTCAGGTAGACCTTGAAGATGTCCTAGCAGCATGGGGAAACAGGAGATCACCTCTCAGGTGGCTCTCCCATAAAAGATGGCAGGGTTCTGATACTAGGGACTTTGCTTCTTGGAGACAGAGAGGGGTTTCAAGGAGAGGATCAGTGGGTTGTTTCCAGCAAGCCAGGTACTGAAGCTTCATAGGACATATTAGTGTAAGAAAATGGAGTTTCCCCTTTCCCTGCACAAGAAAAGTTTTTCCCCCAAGTTGAATGATCTGTGAAAAAAAATATGATTATCACTCCTGCCCCCGGCTGAAAGTCTAACATAGGTATTTTACCCTGCCATAGCTTTGTGCATAAATGCCCAAGAACCATATTCTATATTCTCAATGGCTTATTTCCAAGTCATTGAATACTTGTCAAAGACAACTGTAGAATATACAGACGTGCCTCACATTACGACATTAATTCATTCCAGCGAAATCGCTGTAGAACAAAAACGTCATAATGTGATATTAAAAAGCCCATAGAAACGCATTAAAACCTGATTAATACATTCCTAGGGGCTTGAAACTCACTGTCCAGCGAAGATCCTCCATAGAGCGGCCATTTTCACCGCCTGTGCAGCGAGGAATCCATCCCAGAAAACAGCGGGGAGCCATGTTTTTACCCGGCAGACATTTTGAAACTGCCAATCAGCTGGCCGGAAATCATCGCTTTGCGAGAATCAGTTCCCGAAGCAGGGAACCGGTCATCGTAAAGCAAAATTCCCCCATAGGAAGCGATTTCGTCGTAAAACGGAGCGCTCATAATGCAAGGCACCACTGTATTGAGTCTCTGATTTACTTGCTAAGAAACACCTACAGTACTATTATTTTTTGTAGCTACATTCAGCTCAGAGTTTAGAATATACTTTCAATTAGTTGCATTTTGGTAATGAATAGTGTAACCAGTAGTTACAAAGTTAGTTATTAGATGTAACAAGTAATACCTAAGTGGCTCAGGTGTTACAAAATCTTTACTTTTAAAAGGGCATTATTTTAATAGTCATTTTAAGAAGCATTTTGACAGGGTTTTTTCAGCTTTACTGCTATTTTCTTAATTCTAATTAGCAAAGACAGTATTTTTTTGCTTGGGACTTTTGGATTTTTAAAATATTTCTAAGTTACAATATTAGAACTGGCCACTAGAGGGAACAAGAGAGTATTTCTCTCTACTTTTCTGTGTTGCACATTAAGAAAATGCAACATGTTAATAACACTGGTGTACAATTTTTTTTAGACGTTGTCTGCTTCAGAGATAAAGTGTACTATTTATTTATTATGTATTTTGATGTGCTGAATTAAAATAGGACAAGTAAAAATATTGCACTGCAATGGACTACCCATGAGAACAGAGCTACAAAAATGATAATGGCAACATCGCTGCCGTGAAGGAATGAGTAATGTAATAAATTCCTCTCAAAATGAGATGCCCCAATCTTTGCATTTAGCTGGACTTGATGAGCCTGATGTGGCCTCTGAGAAGATTTACTACTACTGTATATGTCTAAGAAGAGACCACTAACTTCCCGCCTAAAACCCTGATTCCTGACTTTAGCATTCCTGGCATTTCGCAAAACCAAAAGCCTTCTCTTGTATATAATTTACAAAAGCAGAGCACTCTGGACAAGTGGATATGAACCTTCAACACACAATCCTAGTGCTCAAACATGATAATAGTTTAGACATCTACTCAGAGAATCTGGTACTCAGGTAGAATACCTGTAAGCATCCAAACATGGAAAGGCTGCCTATTCACCTTCTGTTAACAATTTTCCAGTTCTATCAAAGGTATTCAGTGATTAACCCAGAACATCCCTACCACTGAATGAGCGTTGTAGCAATGGCTGACATTTGTTTAAAACTTTAGATGGCTGTCATGAGATAATCCATCCTGTTTTTATAAGGTGATTGTCTAAGATGCTTTAAAAATGGTTACATTGTAAATACATCCCATAGTTATAAAAAAATCCAGTTGAAAGATGGGGGGAAATAGTCATAGCATAGCATAGGTTTCCACACCATTTTATGATGTAGGTGACATTCGGCAGCACTCCATCCATGCAAAAATATCTGATGTCATGGGCCCACCATCTCCCAAGAGTTGTGTCACAGGGATGGGGGTTTTAGGTTTCTTTGAGACTTAGGAAGACCCAACTCCACCTAGATTCCTGTTCAGATAAAAAGTTCCCAGCTAGCAGTAGGGCTGCAACAAGATGTCTGAGTGGACCTAGGCTAGCTAAGCCTCAAAGACTTCCAGTTTGGACATTTTTCCCCATATGAATCACACTTAGGTGTGTATGGTTTATAAGGCATGTGCAAGTCAGGCAGAACTCCTAGAATGGGGAGTTATGGGATTTGTAGTCCAAGAAATCTGAAAATCCCATCTTTATTGTTATCATTTTGCCACACATTTGATTTTGCTTAGAGTTCCCACCTATTGGGAGGAGCAACGCAGACCCACAGAGAAAGAAAATAAATCAGCCACCAGTAATCCCTTGACATAAAAGTATGAGCAAAAATCAGTATCTTTTTGAAGCTAAACATTCATGGTTTCATACTAATAAATAACACTATAAATCTTGCTGTATTGGAGTGCAATTAACGCCAGCTGTATAAAACTGCATAACACAGGATTTACTTATCCTGCACGTTTACCAAAACAACCTGTTCACTAACAACAGTACTCTTCCCCAGAAATATATTGCAGCTGTCAGCAGCCAATTTGGCTACATTATTCTTAAATGTTAACAGTATAACAACCATGGAGATTTATTAGCTGATTATTGTAAATGGGCTGGAATTGCATTTTAAAATGCAAATGATAGAAAGTTAAATAATTACATAGAGACTAAGATAATTTGCTTCCTTGACAAGGGCTGAACTTGATGAACTCTAGGGTCCCTTCCAGCACTGCAATTCTAAAATGATAGCAATGATTATTTACTTTCATCCGGAAATGTAATTTTAAAATCCCCAATATGCATGTAAAACATTTTATGGCTAAGCAAAGGACAAGGGAAAAAAACTTACTTATTTTAGGCAAACTATGCATTAAAGGTGAAGGTACATACTGTTAAGGCTATCACTTCTTCCATATTTGGTAAACTACTTTTTGCTAAACTGTACAAGTTCTAGCAAACAAGAGTTGCATGCCTAAATACTCCTAGATGGATGAGAGATGGGGAAAGAAGGCTATGCCCCTGCATACACAAAAGCAACATGTTGGAGAAAAGAACTCTATTTACTTTTCTTCCTGACATGCTTTATGCCTGGGAAAGGTTTCCCCCTGGGGGGTACTATTCAAATTTGCAGTCTTTTCCTGAAGCTCAAGATGGCACACTCCAGGAAGATCACTACACTGAATATATTATAAAATAGTTTGCAGTCTGTCCAACTGTATAATGAGCAGTGCAATATACTCAACAATCTCATTCTGTGACCTGGCACTCTTCTCTGGAACGCATAAGCTTTATGGCACAATAAAGGCGTAATTTGGGCAAAATTCATTCCTTAGTGCTTGAGCTCAGAGCTCATTCTGCTTGTAGGTCTTTAGCAACCAGTCAAAGCAGCAATGATTTTTATCCTGCAATGGCTACAATGTACAAATGCTACACTAGGAAGGTGTTGGGTGCACCACAGGCAGGGGCCTTGGTGGCCCATCTGGATCTATTACAACCAGGGAGACAAAAGAATGGAGGTAATAAGTTGAAGGAACAAGTGAGGAGCATCTTTCATTGCTTAGTTGCATGGAAACACAAATTCTCTCTGGAGCTCTGAAGAGCCTATAGGAAAAATACGAATAAATTGCATGAAGTGGTGGGTAGCAATGCAGCCTGCAAAACACCTGAGAATTCAATATACTCAAGAAGAAACACCATTAGAGGAATGGTGAAAAGCTGTTCCCCAACGCATAATGAGTAGCCAAGATTAACTTCATGTACTGCATTAAAATTAAGTTCACAGCAACAACTGGTAATATGTTCTCTGAGCTTTAACTCTATAATTTTACAGATGCAGTGAACACACACACAAGTTAATTTTGCATGACAGGGCTGCAACCCACAGCTTTTAAAATATAAATTTTGACCTTTAAAGATCACTATTATCCAACAGAAAAAAATACCTTAACCTATTGTTTATGCTCAAATCCAATATAGTCTCTCTCTTTCTCGTGTATTTATATATGCATACAGTACACACACAAACACAGGACCACTGCATTTACATTTTCCAGAGATCCAATATAGTCTCTCTCTTTCTCGTGTACACACACAAACACAGGACCATTGCATTTACAAAAGAAACTGAAAACAGTGTTGTAGATGCTACTTAGAAAAACCAGTAAGGTACAGGTATTCCATATACAGTGGTGCCCCACTTGACGCTTACTCCGCATGACGTCAAAATCGCTTTACGATGAGTTTTTTGCGATTGCTATTGTGATCGCAAAATGATGGTTCTAACAGGGTTTTTTCGCTTGAAATTGATTAGGAGCCTGCTTCGCGAACCATTTGTTCGCTAAGCAACGATTTTTCCGGCTCCGCAAAATGGCTTCCCTCCCTTTGCAAAATGGCTGTTTTTCAGACCCCTGCTTCGGAAGACAGAGATTTTAAACAGCTGATTGGTGGTTCTCTATGGGCAATCTTGACTGGATCATGAGGTATTTCCCCATTGGAACGCATTGACCGGTTTTCAATGCATTCCAATGGGTTTTTTTTTTCGCTTGACGACGATTTCGCTTAACCGTGATTTTACTTCCCCCGCTTGACGACGATTTCGCTTAACCGCAATTTTACTGGAACGGATTATCATCGTCAAGTGGGGCACCACTGTATAAGAATTGGCATGTCATCATTCATTAATACAGTGAATACCTGTAGATTCTCAGTAGTCAACACTAAAGTACAATGGTTGTATTCTCCTGTAATGAAACCCATAATTTGTTTAGCTTAGTTGTGACTGAAACATATCAAGTTTTACAAGCTGAAATATACAAAAAATCACAGTTTTTGTTTGTGACTGTGAGCTACACCCCAGCTTTGTCAATAAATGATGGTTACAGAAGTTATGTCTTAGCATTACTTCTGAATTTACTAATTTTCCCCTATGGTTGCCCAGCTACCCCAGTGCTAGGTTAGCAAGCCTTTGAAGGGATGAAAAAGAGAGAGAATAAGATGGGAAGGGAAGGTGAAATGAGACCCAGACACCAGGTGCGAAGAAAGGAGGATTCAAATGACGTCCAGGTTCCCCACTGCCCTGCATCTCTAACTGCTGCTGAAGACAGCTGTAATGGCTTTGAATACAACAGCTAAAAGCCCTTTCGCATTGACTTAAGTGATCCCACTGCTTGAACCAATGTGATGGCATTTGATTGTAAAAGAAGTAGAAGCCGCATCAGGAGAAGAGGAAATTTCGGAGGGACATCTCAGGGCTGATTCACACGGAATTTTACATTATTAGTCAACTGAAAATAATGCAAATTATATCATGCCAATCATGGAGCATTTCCTGCATTGTTTGTCAATGTAGTCATGCCCTTATTCACGTCATCAAAAGTACTGGCAAAACTGCATTGAACAATGCCTCTCCCTCACAGCATTTGTACCTATTCACCACATGATCTTTTGTTACAAGGAAATAACTGGCTTTGCCTGTGGAATTTTCTGATCTTAACTCTTTTTTACCATTTTGGAAAGGGATGCCTTTCAACTGGTATGATCTGCCACCTAATGGTGAAGAAAAAAATATTTTGCCACATAAAATAAAAGAGAATTGACAGCAAGTAATTTTCTAGCTCCACCTTTCTCCTTTGAGCAGAAGGAATTTGCTTCAAGCAACATTGTTCCTACACCTTCTTTTCTTCAGATCTAATTCCCAGAATACAAACGGGCTGAAATTAAACAAACCTGCCAATAAAATCGTCCTTTTTTCCAGCATCTTTGTCCCAGACTGTAATTTCTATAATTCCACCTCGTTCTTCATAGAGATGCAAATCAAAATGTTCCCTCCATTGAGGATTCAAAGTTTTGGGCATAATCTGGATGAAGAAAAAACAAGGGAAACCGTTATATTGTAAAGTTTTGCACCCCTCTACAAGAATAATTATGAATTCAAGTCCTACAAACAATCAATGGCTTCAGAAGTCATTTTGAACTGCTTCTTTAGGAAACATTGCACATCCAAGACAAAAATACAGCAGAACCTCTCTACACAAGATACTGTTTCTGTACCTAGTACAGTACTGTAGTAGTACACCCCAGAGAGGAAAATACTAGCCCTAGTCTGTTATTATCTAAACATGTGGCATCCACACCTGTTGAGGGGATGTGCACAATGTGACATTTTTCTTCGTTCTGAGTCTTTTTGACTTTTTGGTAATTTTTTTTTGACCATCGAAATGTACTGAATAGGCTCCTATTGGAACGGATTAACCGGTTTTCAATGCATTCCTATGGGAAATGGTGTTTCGCTTAACGATGTTTTCACATAACAATGTTTTTAATGGAACCAATTAACATCGTTATGTGAGGCACCACTGTACTGTAGTAGTACACCCCGGAGAGGAAAATATTAGCCCTAGCCTGTTATTATCTAAACATGTGGCAACCACACCTGTTGAGGGGAATGTGTACAACGTGACATTTTGGGGACTTGGTTCATGTGGACAGAGCTGCTTCTCTCTATTCAGGCGGTTGCTTTTGTATACTGATATTGGTGGTGGAGAAGGGAGAGCCAGCATGCTTCTCTCGAGACATGTAAGCTCCACACACTTTGATAGGGACTGAATAGGGCTTAAATCTCTTTATTCTAATACAAGCTTGCCTTGATCTGCATGTGCCAAATTAGATCACTTTTATTTCATAATTGGTCAGCTGGGAGATAGCATGGCTTTGTTTGCATGTCTAATATCTCAGGTATATAACACTGAAAGATCTGTGTTTCCTGGAGGGATAACATTTACTTTCATATGCAGTCGTGCCTGTATTCTATTCTGGAAAGAAAAAATTGCTACATTTTTTGTAGGTTTCCTAACATGTTCTCTTAGAAATCAAATAATGTTCCCAGAACTTCAAATTCTTAGCAACGGAAATACAAAAAACAGAACAAAATAATCAGCTACAGAATCTACTAGTTCTATCAGTTTTTTTCTGCACATGCAGTCAATTTATCATGTTGCAAACTTGTTTCTTTAATTTTAAAAGGCTTTCACCATAATTTTCTTTTTTTCTGGTATGGAGAATATTGGCTAAATGTACTTCATCATCTATGAAAACTGAATTCATTTTCTCACCACAATTGTTATTTCTTTGTAGCATTTCTAAATGTCAGAAAAAACTGTTAACAGTGTACTCTACTTTTTAAAAGGTTTTTTAAAATAAAATTTAAATAGAAACAGAAGTAGGAGTATGCCCACCATCTTATTTTCCTAAATAATAAAAAAACCAAATTCCCAGAAACATACTGTTGCTTTATAGCTATTACAGGAGAGGTTCTGGCAAAGGACCATTTGTTAAAAATGGAATCCAAAGCAGGACTTGAATGACAGACCTTAAAGCCTGGGAAGTGAAAGGAAAAATCATATAGGAAAATAAAAACCTCCTGATAGAAACAGGGCCACAAGAAAGAGGAAGACTAGCACATTGAATAGGCCATGAAACAATTTCCCATATTCCATGACAGCTGTAGTAGATTCTCATAGGCATACATCTGTTAACAAGCAGGTGCTGTTCTGCATCGACTGCAGTTCCTGGACCATTTTCAACAGCAGTCCCACCTATAACTCACATGTTCGATTTAATCCGGGACTTTTGACAGAATAGTGCTACACTGCTACAGGACAGTCCCAATGTTGACACCACAATTAATGAAGCCAATCCTGACAAAGGGTCTTGGCATAAACTTTGAGATCCATCATCATTTTTAGGCTTAGGCAACTGGGCAGCTACTCTTGGGAATTCCTCTACAAGTCCAGTTGGTCAGCTAGAGGAGGGGGGGAGAAGGAGACCATAGAATCTTCAATACTACCTACTTAAAAGCACACTTGACAAAGGTGGTTTGCTAGAATGGATGCCAATATAGATATAAGTTCGCTTCCTGAACTATCTGGATCACCTGACATAAGACAAAAATGTCAAAGAATGAGTGTGCTCTCCGGTGAGGTGTCAGCTATAAATAAGAACAAAGGCCAGCCTTCTCACTGAGGATTAAGTCTTAAGGTATTCTTTTCTCATTCTCATTTACTATTAGCCCAAGGCAGGCAGTGACCTAAATCCATCTGCTATTCTCAACATGAATAAACTGTTTAATCAATGGAACTTACATCTGCCTGGCCAGGGGCCAATAAGCTGAAACTGAATCCAGACAAGATGGAAATTATGTTGTTGTTAGGATCGTTGGACCGGCTAGAGCAATGGCTCCCAAACGTGGGTAACCCAATATATATGTGAAGTCATCCAGATGTGGTTACGTGGAAGATGAGTCATGGCAACTGGACTTCTTCAAATGAAGGAACACTGCTGATTGTGTTCCTGAGCCATTGCCCCTCCTGTGCTGGGCCATTCTCCTGATTATTGGTTGTTTGGCTTCTCCATTTAGAGCTCCAAACACTCCTCTTTGCATTGTGTTTTCCCTGTCACCGGAGAAAACACAAAAGACCAAACTCCAAAATGTTCCTTCATTTGACAACCAAGATGTAGTCATTTTAGACCAGAGAAGACAGATGGTTTGAGAGAGGGGTCAGGGAGGCCACACATGTGCATATAAAAAATCCCTCACTCAACAGGGGTGGAGGCCTTAGATACAATCTGTCTCCTATTTATCATGCTGCCCTTTCATCCGTCCCCAGAAGGATTAGCGACACACACAAGAAAAATCACTGTTAACTGTCAAGGACCCATGACAATGAGTAGAGAAGGACAGCAGAAGTGGGATTATCCCTCACCCCCAGTCCTTTGTCCTTCTAATGAGCCTATTCAGACCAGGGGGAAGTGGAACCAAGGTGGAGGATATATCAGGCATCTCCTACCAACCCTCCTCAGACTGAACAAGCTGCTTGGATCAGTAGTGAAATGTTTCAACCTAACAAGAACGAAGTCTAGATGCCATGACTCAACTTCCAGATGTGGGTAACCCGAGTGTTCTTGGACTGCCAAATCCCAAAAACCTTGGCTAGCACAGCTGGTGGTGAAAGCATCTGAGAATTGCAATCCAAGAACACTCAAGTTACCCAAGGTTAGGAACCACTGGGCTAGAGGGATATTTACCTGGCCTGGATGGAGTTACACTACCCCTGAAGGATCAGGTTTGCAGCTTGGGGTACTCCTGGACATTGTCCTCTTTCTTGGGGCACAAATCTCTGCTCTGACCAGAACTGCCCTTTATCAATTTTGGCTTATTGCCCAGCTATGCCCATATCGAGATAAGAAATGCTTAAAAACAGTCCTTCCTGCATTGGTAATCTCCAGAATAGACTACTGCAATGCTCTCTACATAGAGCTGTCTTTGAAAGCAGTAAGAAAACTTCAACAAGTTCAAAATGCAGCAGCCAGACTGCTTACTGGTATCAGCAGATTCAAACATATCTCCCCAGTTCTGGCATGCCTTCAATGGCTCCTTCTTAATTTCCAAGCACAATTCAATGCTCTGGTTATTACCTATAAAGCCCTTAACAGTTTAAGACCTTGATACTTTTTGGAAAGTATCTCCCATAAAACAGCTACCTGTCCCAATTGCTCTTCAAGGTCCATGATGCAAGGAATGGCTACACTGAAGGAGGGACAAAAGAGTAAGCACAAGAAACCATGCTTTCTGTCTTTGGAATAAATTTCCTCTAGAGGTTTGGCAGGTTCATTCTCTCCAAGTTTTTGAGAAGTTGGTAAGAACTACACTTTTTAAAGCAGCTTTTTATTCGTATTGTTGTTTGTGGCATGGGATTGTTTTTTTTAAAATAAATGGTACGTTAATAGTATATTATGTATTATTTGACTGAATTCTCAGTTATAGACTGACTAGAGAGTGACACGCTAAACAAACCAAAAACCAACGAACATGTTGTTTGTTGACTTATCCTTCATCGGTTGACTCAATAGATCTACTCTATCTGGAACTAAAAACTAGATTCAGGCCAAAGAGTGACAGGATACATGCTTTGCCTCCAAAGAACCCCAAATTCAATCCACAGTACCTCAGGGGAGAAGGTCTCCTCAGCCTACCCTGCAAAGCCCCTGCAGCCAATACTGAGCTCACTGGACCAACAGATCCCTGTGCCTGATAGGATGCCATCACTTTTCTAAATTGCATCGCTGGAGGAGGAGTGAAAAGAAATGCCAACCTTTCAATCTTTGCCAACCTTCAAATGTACTGGATTACAACTTCCATCATCCCTATGTTCTGAAGGTGGGCGAGCCTGGCTTAATTTTTTTCCCCTCATAACCTGTACAATCTACACCATATTTACACCAGATGTATCAGCACAAATCCTTACAATTAGAGCTTCATCTTTAAAATCAGTTTGCCTCAAACCACATACTAGAAGAATTATCTGGGTGAACCTACATTCTGGATTGAACAAGAATATTAGGTTCTAAGACTTAAATTTGGCACCCTGAACAGCTTAAGAAAGCACACACATATGCTAAGTGGACATTGCAAAACATCACTGTGACCAGGAAAAACATTTCAACAAAGTTACCTTACTCTTGTACTTCTGTTGTCCCAGCCGGAATTTCACATAGGGATCACTAAGCCCATTTGGATCCATGGCCTTGAGTTCACGACCTTCAATCAAAGTGATGCTGACTATTCCTCTCCATAGCTGCGCTTTCCGGTGCAGGTCTGACAGCCGTATACTCTGGGTCTGAAACTTCAGGTGCAGAAAGAACCCAGATTTAGCTAAATCACAAGCAAACAAACCTTTGTAATTTTCTTCCAAATGAGAATGGTTTTTTTTAAATGAACTGCACATGTTAATAGCAAAACATTACTAAAGTGTGCTGCTTACGTATATAAGCAAAATAGAATTGATTAGCTGCAGCAGTTTTCGGAATTAATAATGATTATGTCCTGTCAAGTAAACTGTAATACCTGTTTTCCAGGTATAGAATACAGTACTCAGAAATGGTTTGCAATTCCTATCTTCGGAGGGCATCCTAGGGCTATTCAACTTGCCCTAGGCTGCACAGGCTGGCTTTTCTCATAAGGGACACAATAGGGAATTGAACTCCAACCCACTGAGCTATCTAGTCAACTTAAATTCTCTTACCAAGTAAACACTACCATTGCTGAAGGAACAGGTCACCATTTTTCTAGTCACACTGTCAAACTATTAACATGTACAGTATGTATTCTACCTGCATAGTCATAAATAATAATATCATTGGTGGCCTGCACCTTACAGTCTGCAAAAAAAATCTAGTACAGTATTTCATTTATGGTGACTAAGTAATGAATTGTGTTCATTCGTGTCACCAAACTGGTAATACTTGCAAATATACACATTCTACTGGATACTAAAACACAGTGTTATGAATATCTCACAAAAAGTTGCACTTTATGGTTTTATCATAAAAATTATGGAGTTTTCTAATTTTTTGGAGCTGTTGGAGTTTTCTAATTTTTTGAAAAAATATTAGAAACTAGTTGCACATATAACTTAACACTTTAGTCATCTTCTTTTTACTACTCCACTGTTACAAGTACAGGTCCTTAAGAGGCAATGCTTGATATTCTGACTCATTTCCATCTTTCTGAGAAGCAATGGATGATATTCGTATTCTTTTGCCCAACCATGTTCTTCTGGGTGATGAAAACCCCTTTTCTCTACAAGACTGAGAGATGAAACAGAATCCTTGATGACTTCACTATGAAAAATTTGCCCCAAATGAGGGGATAATAAAATATGCCCTCCACTTGGTCCCTGAACTTTTCCTCGTTCTCTCTAGTTATGTGATAGCTTTCAGTTTGTGCAGGTTGAGGAAGAGACGGCTTCCTTGGAAGTCGGATACTCTGCTTTTTTGGATCCATGTTTTTCTTGGATATTAGAATCTGCCAGGAAGGCATTCCCCATTTGTCTAATGCTTCTCAGACTGTGAGTGCATTTCACACCGCACTTGAGGTAGTGGCCAAGCCCTTATCAGAAAAAAAAAATTAACAAAAAATTCTTCTAGGTAATTATTATCTGATAAATGCTGACAGATTTTGGAAAAGAAGGTGGTTTCTTAATTCCAGATGGTATTAGATGGTGCTGATTGCTTGGATCCACTGCAGTCTGATTAGGTCTACCTGTCATGTCTCTCTCACGGGACTGTTTCAGCCCACCCCAAGATCTGAGAATTGTAAATAAGTGACTGTTCTTGCAGATGTCTGACAAGGACCCGTGAGTTCTGCAAAGATCTTGAAACCGCACTGCGGAAGGAGGGTGCCCCTTCCCAGTCCTGCTGAGAGAATGACACTACTGGAACATGGTCAGTGAATATTTAATTGATTGGTTTACTGGTAGTGCATCCCCCCTTTTAAGATACCTCTGCACAACTCAAGATGCCAAACCACTATGGAAGTGTGAGCAAGCTGAGACAATCTAACTTTTAAGAAATTCCTTCTGCACTAACAACGGTAACTTTACAGTACATGTTAAAATTTCCGTTCACTCTACTGAAAAGAACATTCAGAGTCACAAATTCACATGAGCAATTATCCTAAAGAATATATCACAGCAAAGTAAAAGCAAAGTGCTGCTTATGTACTGGCCCATAGTTCTTAAAACTCTCTCTAGGCAATTTACAATTTAATTATCCAGACTACACATTGTTCCTCACCCTGGCAAGTTGGGTACTCAGTTTACTGACCTCAGAAGGATGGAAGGCTGAGTAAAACTCAAACTATCCACCTAAGCCGAAGATTGCACTTGGGCCATGAACAGAGTTTTCACTACAGTACTGCAGTTTAACCACTGTGCCATTAAGTTCCATAATGAGTTACTAGGTCAAAGAAGTTACAATATACCATTCATAAAGTGCATTCTTTAACATAAATATTTTAACTTATTTTGCTCACCAGCTTTCTTTCTGAAACATATACTTTTGCAACAAGACAAATCCTCCACTCATATAATAATTCCACTTGCTCATACTTTTCCTACATGAATTTTTAATTTGGCATGAATAGCATTATCATAGAATATATTCACAGTTTTCACTAGGTCTTTTAAAAGTCACATCACACTAGTTCCTCAGATATTTTGCAATCTAGCCAAAATAACTACCTAATATCTGTTATATCTATTTTGTACAATTTTATTGAGGGACAGTGATGGATCAAACTCAAAACATTTTGCTGGCTGTTTTTAAATATTTTAAAAAATATTTTTAAAAATATTTCAGAATGTGTTTCCATGGTCAAGGGCAAGTATGGGGTTCTACTCTTACAGTCTGGCTGTCATGTATAAGTTAGTCACTTTTTCTTTTGTGTATTCTCTTTTAACAATCCCTCCATAAAGGATTGCACCGAGAAGAATATTTAGATGGTACAGCACACAGCCAGAAATGGTGACCATCAACTCCTTATATATATGATGACTGAAAAAATGAATAGTGCAAATTTCTGCACATCATAGTGACTCAAGAGCCCATTTCATACTAACATTTCTATGCACAACCCCATAATCAGTAGTAGTCAGAAGGAAACATGTGAGCAAAGCTAAAGCAGCCGTCCCATGTACGTGCATCTGGCTTTAGCACTTGTTAGAACCAATCAGGAGCTTGCTTGAATTCAAATTAAATACACAAGACTGTGTTGCCTTATACCTCTTAAACCCAGAATACAAACGTTAATATACCATAACTACAAAGTACAGTAGATCTATCTATCTATCTATCTATCTATCTATCTATCTATCTATCTATCTATCTATCTATCTATTTATTTATTTATTTATTTATACCCCTCCTATCTGGTGCCATGACCACTCTAGAAGTAGACTCTACAGAGACTGGCAAACAAAAACAAATATGCTTGCAATGCAGAGGTGACAGCAAGCACTGAAAACAACGATAGATGCTAATATCTGCTTTGCCATTCCTACTTTTTTAAAAAAGCCTGACAAACATTATAGAAGTTGAATGCAAATAGAAGAATTCTTCTCAATGCCCTAGTGGTATTCTTCAACTTTAAATCTCCTTTTCTACTTCCTTCGGTTGTGGAGACTTGCCCTCCACCAATTTTACTCATAACTTCATGGAAGTAAGTAGTGAAATGGATCAACAGAACAAGTAATACAAGCAAGATCATTACAGATGAGTCATCTATAATGTCGTAATGACACCTAGTCTTTATTTGTAAGGACACCTAGCCTTTATGTAATAGACACCATTACAGCCAAGAAAAGAGACCACTCTGCATCCAGAGTGAGAGAACAGATTGGTTACCTGTAACTGTGGTTCCTCTAGGGGTCACTGGTGCATTCACACATAGGGGTGATACTCCCATACAGTGGGGTCTTGACTTGAGAACTTAATCCGTATTGGAAGGCGGTTCTCAAGTCAAAAAGTCTGTAAGTCAAGTCTCCATTGACCTACTGTGCATTGAAAACCGATTAATCCCGTAACAGGCCGTTTTTGTTCCATTTTGGGTTTTTTCTGATCTGTAAGTCAAATCTCAGTCTGCAAGTCAAACCTAAACTTTGCGGCCAGAGAAGTTTGTAACTCAAAAAGTCTGTAAGTCAAGCCGTCTGTAAGTCAAGGGTCCACTGTATGTGAGATACACAGAGACTCTGATGAAGAAACAAAAGTTTCTGTAGCAATGACTATCATGAGAAAAGGCAAACTAATACTCTCTACAAATCAGCCATTTAATAGTTCATATTCAACTAATACATTCATATATGCCTCATAACTGCTATGCTCACAGATGCAAGACTTTTGTCTCCTCCATCCACCCTTTCTCATAAACTTGCTGATCATGAAGAAAAACGAACACATTGTATCAGACTGCTTTTCCTGTAAACAGATCTTCCTGTCTCTCTCTGACCAGTCCAGCTAGACCTACTCAGATGCTTTGTAATGATGGAGACAATTTAGTGTTGTATCGTCTCTACCAAAATACATTTGTTTGCGACTAAAAGGCCTGCCTCATTATCAAAGTTATAAAGCAGTTTTATAACAGAACAGTTTGTGTCACAAATTTCAGTTCAGGTGACACAACATAGAGAATGTCACAGTTCTTCTAAGACCACATGCTTAGAATTACCTTACTTGATCTTTTCCAACTCTTCCTCATTAGCATTGTCTGTAAATGAAATAGAGCATTTAAATCACCTTTTACTCATTCACACAGGAGGCTAGTTGACTTCCAAAGGAGCAATGCACATACTGAAGTGACAGGCACATTCCCAAACAGCTACACAAAACTCAGATGAAACGACTCCTTCAAGCATCATTCAGATGAAAGCAGAATTCAGATTTAACACTTGGATTTTTTTTTTTTAGATGAAAAGGAGAAATGGCTTAAAGTAACCTGAACATGCTTGGGATTGCTGGAAAAAAAGAAAAAGAAGAAATGACAATGGTCTGAACTAGATATAAAGAACAGTAATCTGAACTAGATATTAAAAGTAGAATCTAATGGATTAACTGTTATGCAACATGGAGGATTAGAAGACGAAACTGGTGGCGTGGACTGAAAGCTTACATTCCTTCCATAAAACATATTCTTCCATTAACAAAAGAGGTCCTTCAGAGCTAATGTAGTGTCTCTACAGATATACCGTGTGCTACTGGTTCTAAAATCCTGCTTTTTGTTATCACTGTTATCAAGGCAAGACTCTGGAAGGAAGTCTAGGTTTCACCCAGAAGAATGGGCAAGAGAGGCCCCAAATACAGCAGCATGGATTGGTCATATTTTGAAGTAAACAAACTAATATGCATTACCACCTAAAGAGTCCTCTGCATGAGAGTGCCACTTTCAGAGTCCAAAATCCTGTAACAGTCACATTTGCAAAAGGCCTGTTGGAATACTACTGAGGAGGAGAAATGGGGATATTATGATATATTGATACAAATACAGGACAGGAACAGGTGATACCTTTAATCAATGATTAAGAAAATAAAACAAACACTAACAACAAAGTGAGCTTCCAATGACAACTCATCTTCTTCAAGGCTGTGCATCACATTCTTTTGGGTAGTTCCAACTTATATGCTTTTAAAGGTATCATCTGTTCCTATATTTGTAATGTTTCCACGACCATGTGGCCTTTTCTGATTTTTCATTATATATTAAAATTAGGGTGAATTTTTTCTTTTTTTAATGCAGACTACTGTGAATTTACATGAGGTACAGAGTCAAACCATTGCTTGTGTGATTTGGTGTGCTAGTCTCTCTAATGATTGCTCAATATGCAGATCTGCAACCCCCTTTAGAAACTTGGGATGGTCAGGGAGTAATGCTTCTTTGACTGTAGCCTGGCCAGAATCATGTTGGTTTATGTGCTTCTGTAACAGCAATTGTGCAAGTAATTTAAGCTGTTTTGAGTAATTTGGACCATCACACACCCAGTTGATGTGACTGGTTGAACAAAAGAGAGTTTGGAAAATGCAAAAAGCACTTCTGTGAATGCTCTTGGCCCACACGGGAAACTTCAATAGGATTCTGGCTTCTTTTCCCACTAACGGGTATGCTACAGACAAGGGTATAATAGGACAAGAGAGAGAGAATTTTAAACATGCCATCTTCTAATCTGTTGCCTACTGTGCACTTACCGAGGCACTGTCATATGACTGATGTAATAACTTTTAGAAGTTTGCTTATCAGTAATTAAAACATGCACATAAAACTTAACAGCTGCAGTACACTCATTTTTCATTGAAGTTATATGTGTGAGAGGAATATAAATAAACAAAATAATTTTGTTCCATGAGTGTAAAAACTTTCAGGACCAGAACTCTCTTTCATAAAAATAATATGACTGATTGATTGACTCATTGACTGACTGATTGATTGCACCTGTATACCACCTTTCTCCCAGTTGGAAGAGCTCAGGAGATTGATTGACTCATTGACTGATTGACTGACTGATTTGATTGCAGCTGTATACCACCTTTCTCCCAGGTGGAAGAGCTCAGGGTGTCCAAGGCATAGGATTTTCAGAATTCATGCACTACAGCTCCCGGAAATCTGCAGGAATTTGCCTAGCCAGACTTCTAGGGACTTTAACTAAAAACCCCAAATCCTTCCAGGTGTCTATAATTACTTCAACTAAAAAACAATGCCTTCTTTAAGACATGATGAAGATGGAAGAAGGGGCTGGGCAGGGCTAAGTTATATTGTAACTGGAAAGCATTATGGGTCTACTAGTCTCCCTATTATGTTCTATGCAGGGTGCCTCTCAGGAAACTACCACACCCATATTGCCTTGGAGTTTCCAGAGAGCTTACACACGCTAGCCATGCTCCTCCTGCCTCTCAGGAAACTACCACACCCATATTGCCTTGGAGTTTCCAGAGAGCTTATTGATTGATTGATTGATTGATTGATTGATTTGATTGATTTGATTTATATCCCGCCCATCTAGTAAATTCTACCACTCTGGGTGGCTAGCTTACACATGCTAGCCATGCTCTTCTGTCTTTATCATGTCCACGAGAAGCCATTATTTCTCAGCTGAAAATGATTAGGGACATCTGAAATGCCAGGAGGAGTGTTGTTTCATTTCTTTTTGTTTTGGTTAAGCCAAGCCATTATTTCTCAGCTGAAAATTATTAGGGACATCTGAAATGCCAGGAGGGTTGTTCATTTTTATTTTATTTTTTATTTTTTTGGTTAAGCTCCTAGAAGTCTATTTGGGGGAATTCCTGCAGACATAGGGGGCTGTAGTCCATGAATTCGGTAAACCCCATACCTACAGCTCAAATCCCAGGATTAGAGATGGGACTTAATTCATCATCATGGCACCATAGCTGCCATGCATCAACGCACCCCAGCCTCCGGACGGCTGGGCCACTAACCTTGCATTGTGTGGCGCTGGGGTCCTTCTTCTCCAGCAGTGCTCCAATCTGGGCAGGATCTTGGGCTGCCCGCTTCCTTGTCAGAGTGGTTGGCTGGTGGAGGAAGCAGGGCCAGGCAGGTTCTGTCGAGATTGGAGTGCCATCAAAGGAGGACCCTGCCAATGCAAGGCAAGTGGCCTAGCCAGTCATGGAGGGGGAGGAATAGATATGCAGCAGTTGTAGTGCCACAGCGACGTATTTCATCATCAGGGACTGAATGAATTCATGTGGCCCTCTACCCAGGATCCAAAGCTGACTGAGAAAGCACCTCGAAGTCTGTGTCCTTCAATACTTATCATTACTTAATAATTGCCTTTATTATTACTTGTTATTACTTAATTATTACCCTTATTGGTTGTTGTGGGTTTTTTGGGCTCTTTGGCCGTGTTCTGAAGGTTGTTCTTCCTAACGTTTCGCCAGTCTCTGTGGCCGGCATCTTCAGAGGACAGCAACCTGTGCTCTCTATTACCCTTATTACTGAAGGTCCTTTTGAATGGAAATTGGATTAAAACTGTAATTTGTATATGCAGCAATATATGGCTGAATTAGAATTCTTGAGTTATAGTTACTCCATGGTAGGAAAGATCTGCAGAGTTTGATCTCTTTTCACCTAACCTATCAGGAAAGAAAGACTATGAAATAGATTACCAGGTTCTTCAAAACCTAGAGTAGGAAAAGCCCAAATTTCAGTTTTCATTCAAACTGTGTGATGTCCGCAAATTGAATTATTACCCTTATTGGTTGTTGTGGGTTTTTCGGGCTCTTTGGCCGTGTTCTGAAGGTTGTTCTTCCTAACGTTTCGCCAGTCTCTGTGGCCGGCATCTTCAGAGGACAGCAACCTGTGCTCTCTATTACCCTTATTACTGAAGGTTCTTTTGAATGGAAATTGGATTAAAACTGTAATTTGTATATGTAGCAATATATGGCTGAATTAGAATTCCTGAGTTATAGTTCCTCAATGGTAGGAAAGATCTGCAGAGTTTGATCTCTTTTCACCTAACCTATCAGGAAAGAAAGACTATGAAATAGATTACCAGGTTCTTCAAAACTGTGTGATGTCTGCGAATTGATGGTTTAGATATCCAGAATAAAGAGGGCTGCATTTTCTACATCTGAAAGTCTGCAGAATTTACTTTCATTCTAGATAGGAGACAACTGCAACATATATACAAGCAGCCCAGCACCTAGAATTAGAAGTAAGGTGTTGTGTGTCTCAGGAAGAGCATGGAGTGCTAGGGTAGGCATATTTCATAATGGTACTACTTTTGTTAATCTCTACAGAAATAATCCAGGTAAGTAAGTATGTTGGAGATAAAAATGATATATGGAGAGAGAAAAAGGGAAAAAAATCATTGCCATTTATAAGAATTTTTATGCAGAACACTTTTAATTACAGATTGTAAAGTTAGTGCTGTGTTCAGACTGAGGCTGTGGTCAGACCAGTAAAATGTTTCCGAGTTACTCCTCATCAAGTTTGACCCTTTACTTGGGGAGTTCAGATGACGACGTACCGATGTCGTCAATTCTTTTGTTCTCATTCCATGATGTTTCTGTATGAAATGCCGCCTGCTGGGAGGCTTCAATTTTTTTTTGTTGCTGGCTTCATTGTGCAACAACTACAGTGGTATCCTGTGGGCGTGGTTGTACTGTTACTTTTTCTGGCAAGCTGCCTTGTGTTGTTTCTGCTAGTGATATCATTTGCCTGAATGTCCTTTTTTTAAAAAAAAAATTTAGCGAGTGCAATGTTGGTACATTGGAAAACTTAAGTCATCAGTCTCTGCACTTCACTTATTTACAGATCCATCCACATAGTGGTGCTCCTCTTCTGGCAAGCTGCCTTGTGTTGTTTCTGCTAGTGATATCATTTGCCTGAATGTCCTTTTTTAAAAAACAATTTAGCGAGTGCAATGTTGGTACATTGGAAAACCTATGTCATCAGTCTCTGCACTTCACTTATTTGCACATCCATCCACATAGTGGTGCTCCTTCCCCCCTCAGCCCTTTCACGTTTCCCTCTCAGGGACCTTGCGGTAGAGCTGCAATGAAAACAAAGCCCGGTTAAGAGTTCCTCTGCTGTAAGAGGTACAAATGAAATGCAGCAGAGAAACTCATAACCATCAAGGAAATGTTGCCAAAATGTCAATGTAACAAAACAAAATTTAAAAAAGGAAAAAAAGAGGCCCCAGAGACATAAACAAACTGGAGGGTAATATTCCAGTATCAAAATGTAGCCAATCATATCAC